TATCTTGGGGCTAAGAAAAAGAAATGAACTAATGTACTGGTTGTCTCCACAGATCAATCAGCAGTGGAGAATAAAATCATTCTGAAATTACAAAGTGAATTCATGGGGATGGGGTCTGCCTGATAAGAAGTGGATTTGCACAACTTTTCAGGAACACAACCGCTTTGTAAAGTGAGGTACTGCCACACTCCGTCCATCCCATGTCCTTCACTCTTGAGGCAAAAAGAGAAACTCCAGTCATCTGGAAATCAAATCTTTGGCACAATAGGTACTAGCCTGGACTAGTGAGGAACTTGAACTTCCCTTTCTTCTTTCACAAGTCTGATTTCCTCTGATCCTGATAACTACCTCTAATCACTTCATTTCTCTCCTCCTATTCTTTTTCTATACCCCTTTATTTGTCATTCTATAAACGCTCTGCTTAAAAATTCTCTTCAGAGGAAAAGGTTTATGTATAAATGTAACAAACAGGCCATACCTCTGGCAGCTAAAGCCTTGCAGTTAATTCTGAGCCACTGAGGGACAATCGCTACTCCAGCAGAACAAGTGAGGGGCTTCAAATATTTACCAAGCTGTTACACCTAAGCCTGGATAGCAAAAGTGGACCCAATGGATAGAAGATGCAGGCAGATTATAACTGAATGAGTTAAATCTCTCCCATTATAGAAATGTTTGCCTTGTTGGGTGCGGTACACTTTGTCACTGGCCATGCTTAACAAACCTGAAAAAATTCCTCTTAGGTGTGTGATGGGGAGTATGCTAGCACTGGATAAGAAAGAGGTTATTCTAATTCTAAGGAGCCTGTGATTCTGTAATAAATAATATTGTAGGTATAGTTTTATCCCATAGTTGAGATACACAGCTGTTCACATGCATGTGATGAGGCGAGTTGACTGAAGAACAACTTTAAGAAGAAACAAGATAGGAGAGGTGCCCATCTGTGATCCCACAGTGGGGTGTGATTCTATCCTAGATGGGGGGGAGACCTGAAAGTAGAGTGGAAGACAGAAAATATTTTGGAAAAGAGGTGGGAAAGCCAGAACCTTCAAGATAAGTCTAATGCTCAAAAGCAGCTGTGCTTACGTAACTACTCATGGGTAGGACACAGGTGCCTACCTTCATGGCAGCTTCTGTTTATTTTTTATTTTAAAGAGCCCACTGTAATAGGAAATTTAGTGTTCTGGCTTTTTTGTTCTGGGTGAGAAGGATAATGAAAGAAAATCATCTCCTCCGCCCCCACTCAGGTCTGCAAGGGCAGCTTAAAGAGCTGGAAAGAACTTCCATTCCAGAACACAGATATGGGTAACACCCTCCTCGACCAAAATGCCACAGAGCGGGCAAAGATTTCTAAACAGATTAGTGAGAGGCTTCTGAGCATATTAACTCAAGACTATTGTTTCTGGAATTTAGCTTAGGCCTCTTGGGGAAAAGTTGGTCAGGTAAAAAGAAAGATAGTATAGATAAGAAAACTGTAAGACTCACTGGTCCAACTGCTATAATATTGTCCCAGCACTATCTGCAAAACTGTTCTTACTGTACAAGTGATGATATCTTAGAGGTGTGTAAATCTCTGGCATCTCAGAAGCTAATCATAACATAATGTTCACATCCGGGAACCAGGCTATTCTTGCTCTCCTGGATCATGTGCCCCAACTGACCGCAGCACTTTCTTAGCAAAGGAGGCCTGCTCTTACAATGTTGTTACTTGTGGATTCCCTTCTTTAGGACCCTCTAAGTAAAAACAAAGGCAGGGGGGAAAAGGAGCCATGCCATTTACTATGGCAAGTAAAAGCCAGGATCTGTTTAGTGTGTGTATTTTCCATTTCTTGAGAAAATGGTGATCAAAAACAGCCCCAATGGCATGGCCATTTTTTCCCACCAAGCCACTCCACATGGTCCCATCACCCCAAATCACACACGCGCCCAAGATTAAAGAAAAGGAGGCCCGCCTAAGAAAGCCAGTTTTCTGACACTTGCTTTACATCCCCAGTGGGTGGCTGGGAGTGAAAAATACAAAGTCAGCCTGTGGAAATTTGCAGAGTTTCAAAGTATCTGCCTATAAAACACTTAATAATTAATTAGGAAGGGGGAAATGGTCATCTTAAAGAAGAGAAAACCAAGTGCCCAAAGTGAAGATCGTGAGTGAAAAACCAGTCAGCACCAGGCTCCTCTTGATCTGATTCACTGAGAACGACACAGCACTTCCCTGGCATTCTTGCTAAACCTGAACCTTACCGTCTGATTAGATGGGCTCCCAAATACCTGGCCTAGAATCTTCAAAGAAGTTATAGCTCATGAAAGAAAAAGAAATAAAAACAGGAGGAAGGATGACTGGGTACACAAAGGGCACTCAAGCAAAATGAAAACTAAATGTGATCCTGGCTGAGAAGAGAGACAATTGGCAAAATTTGCATAAAGTCTGTTGATTAGATAATAATATTGATGTTAATATCCAAATTTTCATCAGAGTGTTAACTGTGGTACTTTTAGTTATATAAAAAATGTTCTTGAATTTAGTAAATTACAGTGAAACATTTAAAGTTAAAGGGGCATCATGTCTATAATTTGCTCCCAAATTTTCAGGGGAAAAATGTATATACATATATACCTATATATATATACATGTGCATACATGTATGTGCATGTGTAAATGGAACAGAGAGAATATAATCAAGTCAATATGGTAAAATGTAAATGTCTACATTTGAGGAATCTGGGAAGAGCATATAGGGATGCTTCATAACATTTTTGCAACTTCTCAGTGAGAAGAAAGTTTTTTCAGAATTAAAAAGGAAAAAAAAACCTAAGCAGGTCTGAGCTTTTTGAGGAAGGCACTGGTGAAGGAGAAGGAATGTGGTGGACTCCATCTCCCCGGCGCCCTACCCCCAACACTGAGAAGCACTGTAGTGTCCTGGGTCTCCCTGAAAGCTGCTGCGGGAGACCCTGCAGTGAGCTCCCTGAGGGAGATACTGCTTTATCTCCATATGTCCAGAGCCTAACACAGGACCTGACATATACGAGGGGCTCAAGATATGGCCAATGAATGAATGAACAGACTTAATGAATAAAAATATCTGAATATTGTGGGCAAACCCCAATCTGTGGTACTTTATCTACAAAGTTGGTAGCATTGTGACCCTCTTGTATAAATGGCTGGGTGTGAGTGAGGGGCAGGAGGCATCAGAATGAAGAGTCAGATACTATTCTTTCCTGGGTTGCTCTTGTTATTGAGGAGGAAGGAGAACTGAGCATGTCCCCTAGAACTGGCCTGAAATGGCCCTGCTCCTCTGGACTGGGTGAGGAAGGGCATACATTCCAGGCACTGTGTGTCCCAGCATCCAAGGTCTATACTGGATCCCAGGCAAGCTATTTAATGCACTGAGATAAGAAGAAATTTAGACCAAGATCCCCCAGATAACAGTAAGGATCCAATAGCTACACATTCGTTAAATCCTTCATCATGCACACAATATCTCCTTACACTCTGTTCTTACTTCCCAAACCAACTAGTGCTTGGTTTCTTCAAATTCACATCGCCGATGCAAGGATGTCTGGAGTTGGGATCGTTTTAATTACAATCGAAGTTCTAGAAAGCTTCAAAAAAGTCACTTAACATAAAAAACATGACTTTGCTTCAGAAGCTTAGCTATTTCAAGGACATCATAAGAGACTGCTTTTCCAAAAACATTTAATTGTGAAGAGAGATGATGGGGGAAAATTACAATCCACAGACAACCAGAGTGGAAGTGTTAGGGGAAGTTCCTGTGACCCACAGAAAGCTGGGGTCTATGGCAGATGGGCTTTTTCTAACTACCACCAAGATGCAATTTCATAGTCATGAATATTGTGCGATAATATTCCAGAAAAAAATTAAATAAGGTGAACCAAGGTAAACAACAGAGGGCAGGACTCCAAAATGCAAAACTGATTTGCATGTTAATTCAACTAGGGACCTTGTTGCTTTAAAAAAGGAATATAATTTTCAAGAATCTCTAGGTAGGACTTCTATGCTCACTGGCAGGGACTTGTTCTCCACTTTATTTGAAAATAAGCTCATATGGCAAACCCAAACATAATGGGGAAAAATATCCCTCCCTAATCAGTAAATAATAAGTGAGCCCACAGTGGGACTGAGGCAGGATGGGAGAGCTACTCTTTCTATCTACTAGCCAACATCTGGGAGGCCAAACAGTTCTCTGCCCGAGTCAGGCCCCTCCTCTAACTTAGTGAGGACAGATATTTAACTCCCCCTCAGAGTTCCACTTTCCAGTGAGTAGTCCATTACTCCCTAGTGCCCTCCAGCTGCCTATCGCCCAGTTCAAAGCTGTTCCATTTCTCGAAAACAGAGTGGGAGGACTAGGACATATCCTATCTCCTCCTAGGTTGTCCCAGGGCTATGTCGTCTGGAAAACCCAAATGGGCTTGATGTAAAGACAACATGGAAGAAAGACACCTGATGAGCCCGAAGGGCAGGAGCCAGCTCCTATCCCGGCTGTGCTCAACATTCCTGTTGTCCCAGACACGGTCTAGTCCATGGGCTGCCAAGGGCGTGGCTCTCTCAAAGCCAGCTGAAACTTTGAGGATTCATGGCAACCTAAGGGCTGACCTAAGAGTTTTGGAGGAGACCCCTCTCATGAGTTCAGACAGAGCCTCAGATCTGTATGTAAATAGGTAAGTAAGAGTGTGTGGTATTCTTAATGCTTCGACACTTCTCAATCAACCTCTATCTCTCCTACACACATCCCTTCTCATTTCTCCATGAGAACCTATACTTATGATACACTCGGGCTGTTCTACAACTGGAATAATAGTGACACTTCAAAAAAAATCAAGCCATTGCCTATTTTTGTCTGAAGAGAAAGCAAAGACACTGGCAAAGGATAGTATGACAACCCTTGAAATTTGAGCCTTCATACTGGTCATCAGTTCCCAGTGTAATATTACCAATGAAAAATGCAGAAGCTAGGCCTTTTGGTCCACACCCAACTGGTTCTTCTTACCTTTGGTTCCATTGAAATGAAACTGTGGGTTCCTCTGCTCGAGAGAACTGACCTTTTAATCGTCCTGCTGTGGTAGAAGTGGTAATAGTCCTTCAGGGCCCCGATCTGCAAAGACAGGAGGGAAAGAACAAAAGAGAGTTAATGTATGAAAAGTCTTGTTTTCCTGTTTTTCATTGAAATAACAACACCAAACAGAAACAGGTCCATAAATTATGCAGTTGTCTGCTCTGCTTAAATGTTACTTGAACCTTGGTGATCACTTTCCAAAGGGAGGACACGCGATATGAAGTGGAGTGTCCTTGAGGCAGTGACTACAGAACTGAAGGTTACAATGGAGTGGCTAAGCCTCTCCATAGCTCCCTCTTAATGTTTAATTTATATGCAGCATTTTAAGTAATTCTATATCAATCTATATCCAAATGTGGGAAAGAGAAAGAGTCAAATAGCTATCTGGTTATAAAAACACACTACATTCTATTTGTTCTGAGAATGTACAGTGAAGGACCTTGTTAGATTATTTATATCATTTATTTGAAACAAGTCCAAAGCAGTTGATCATTCACAAAGAAAACACTACTTTGTTTCCTGACTTCAGTAGACAGTATAAATACACAGCATTTTTTCATTAACCACACCACTAAAAGGTGGCCATTTCAAAAACAAAACAAAGATCATACCTTCTACTAATCAACCAAGCTTCCTGTGTAAACATAGTTCAATCCAATTCACCTCAACCACTTCTTTAACAAATTAGACTTATTATTTGTGTACCCTGTTCTCTCTCTCTTTTAAAATATTTTATTTATTTGTTTTTAGAGAGAAAGTGAGGGAGGGAGAGAGACAGGGAGAGAAACATCGATGTGAGAGAGAAACATCAATCAGTTGCCTCTCGTACCTGCCCCAACTGGGAACCAAACACACAACCCATGCCTGAAATTGAACTGGTGATCTACCAGTTTGTGAAACTACGCTCAACCAACTGAGCCACACCAGTCAGGGCTACCTCCTTCTTCAGTACAAAATAGTGAGTGTTGTTTAAGATAGCTTTGAAAGTAAGTCCCTGTCCACTTTAGGAAAAAATGAACAAAATCCCCAACAACTGTATTCTCCTGGAAGATTAAGAAATGTGATCCCATAATGGAACTCGAACAATCACAACAAATAAAGACAGGAGAGTGTGGTTCGAGGTCCAGCTGACACTCCCCAGAGGTGGCTTCTTGGCCAAATCACATGTACTTCCTATGTCTCAGTTTCCATTTCTATAAAATCAGACTTTGGGCTAGTTGATTTCTAAGATCACTGCAGCTTTCAAATTCCCTTCCTTGAAATGACACTTTCCTTGCTTTGGGCAAACACAATACATCAAATGGAACTTTCTCCAGAACACCATGACTTTGTCCTAAAAGCATGTGACCATCACCAGGATGTTTTCCAATGGGGACAGTTCAAAAATTGAAAGAAAAAAAAATCACTGGCCCACTTTAATTTTTCCAGATAAAACATTTATTTCTTATTCTCCTATTTCCATCGCATTCTCAGTCATTGCCCATCTCTCCTGATAAGGGTGATCAACCTAATTTCTGTGCCATTTAATAGTTATCTCCCCATTGGGACTTGATGCACTAATTGAATGTCCCTAATCCTCATTAAATTTGAAGGCCTGAAGTCTCATACTCACATTTTTTATTCAAGTGGAAACTGCCTGGATATACACAGAAAAGATCCTGGACTCTGAACACAAATATGGAACAAAGACAAGGAGATCCCAACTGAACCCTCTAATCTCGGTGGCCCTGGACTCTGAAACTGCAGCCAACAATGAGGACGAGGGCACCACTGCCAGCCCTGGTCTCCAACCGTGTTCCAGGAGGAACCAACAGGCTGATGATGTTAAGACTCCAGAGGATGAAGGGCAGAATTCAAGGGGGTGTGTAATACTTTACAAGAAAATATTAAAAGCTCAAAAAAATTGAGTGTTTTGCCAAGAGTGCTCCTTGGAAAAAATAGTACTTCTTGTGGAAAGGAACTTAGAATCGCTGAGGAAGAACTTTACACAAAACCTACTGCCAGTGTGAAAATTGCCAGCATGTTTAAAATCATGTCCACTCAAATATCATGGAACCTCATTGATTATAGGAAGTGGGAGAGTTCAACTTAACTATTAAGTTCAAACTACGGGTGAAACACACCCTGAAGATACCGCATTTTGCCATGTATAATGCGCTCCCATATATAATGTGCACCCACATTTTTGGCACAAACTTTCAGATTTTTTCAGGAAAAAAATCTTTTGTTTTAATTTTTTAATTCAATTTTGTATATATTTATATTTAGAAATGAAAACTGATTATCATATTCAAGGGTGGTATTTTGCACATAGATATCATTATTGCTTTCTAGAGTTATACTTTTAACACATACACATAAATAAAAGATTCAAAAATGTTTATATAGATATGGAATTAGTACCACTCATGTATAATGCGCATTATTTTTCCCTCAAAAATTTGGGCAAAAAAGTATGCATTATGGTTGAAAAAATATGGCCTATTCAGACCCTTTGTGGCCTCACTGGTACCAGCTGGACCCGTGGCCCAATGTAACATACAGAAAGGTAGCAAACGGAACCCTGTCCTGACTTAGCTGGCTCTGGGATCTTGGGTACATCACGTACACTCTTTGGGCCATGGCTCCCTCAAATGTAAAAAAAAAAAAAGAACACAGGAGAGATAGCAGACAGAGAGGGGCATCATAGTCAAATGGGGGATAATAATATCTATGGGCGAGTATCATTGTAAGGACTGACTCCAGTAACAGCTGAACTGCCTGGTCTAGTCATTGCCTGGTACCTAGTAAATGGTGCCCTTACAAATGTCGCCTCTTACCCTCTAGTTAATCCCTCCCCCCATTCTTCAGTTAGGGTTCCTCTTGGCCTACCCTGGTGTCTCCTCTCCACTTCCCTTATTTCATTGGCAAAAGTCAAAGAGCTAGTGATATGCTATTGGCAGGGATGCAGGCACAAACGTGGCTTCCACGTGGTTGGTAAAGAGCACAACCAGGGAGGGACCAGGGCTCTGAGAGCAAGTTGGTCACATCAGTAAAATTATACACAGTAACTAACCTTTGACTCACCCTTCCCACATCTAAAAATTTACTCCACAAATATAGTCACTTATGTACTGGGTTGGCCAAAAAGTTTGTTTTTTGTTATTTTTTCCCTATAAGATGGCTCTAGTAGTGCTTAGTCTTTAACTTCATTCAAAAAAATTTTGTTAGATTATATTGTGACAGCTGGCATATTAGCATGCATTTAAAAAAGAAAACTTATCAGTATTGGTGAATTTTTGTGTAGCCATTTTAATGTTGAAGATGGAAGAAAATAAGCAACATTCTCAGCATATTATGCTTTATTATTTCAAGAAAGGTAAAAATACAACTGAAACATACACCAAAAAGGTTTATGCAGTGTATAGAAAAGGTGCTGTGACTGATCAAATGTGTCAAAAGTGGTTTGCAAAGTTTCGTGCTGGAGAATTCTCACTGGACAATGCTCCATGGTGGGGTAGACCAGCTGAAGTTGATAGCGATCAAATTGAGACATTAATTGAGAACAATCAATGTTAAACCACATGGGAGATAGCTGAATACTCAAAAAATCCAAATCAATAAACTTATTGGTAAAAATGAAAAATGTGTCTTTTATTTTACAGAAGGGAACCAGACAGACTTGTTGGCCAACCCAATACAAGAAGGGATATTAGAGCAAATTTTGTAAAAGCAAAAAAAAAAAAAATGCAAAAAAAATTTGGCTGCCATCAACAGGAGATTAGTTCTACATGAACTAAAAATGAGTTGATCTCCAATGCAGTCATAAATAAATAAATGTGCAAAATGGGTATGTAACCTGACCTAATTTTTGTAGCAGAAAGAAAGAAGAATCTATAATACATTTATGCTTCTGTGTGCAGGATACTTCAGGAAGGACACTTGAGAAACTGAAAACAGGAACTTTCATTTTTTATGTGCCTCCATTATTTTAAAAATGAAACTAATTACAATGAAAGAAATAATACCAACACATGAATGACACAGAACAAACAGCAACCCCACCTACTTCTCCAGGGGCAGATTCGCTCCCAAAGCTCAATGCGGCTGGCACATGGGCCACATCTATTCAGGCTACTCACTCCCAATAGCAGTGAGCCCACTGCATCTCCGCCTTTCGTGGATTCCGTGTCCTTTATGAAGTTATGGAATGGTGCCCACTGACTGACTGATGTCTCCTTTACTGAATGCCAACCTTATGCCAGGCATCTTACTGCCCCATTGCAGGTTATCATATTTAACATCATTCCTCCAAGAGTCCTAAAAGATACATATCATTATCTCCAATTTCATATACAAGGCTACTGAGGCTCTGACAGTGCCCAAATGTATAAGGCTGGTATTGGGAGGTGGTAAAATGTAAATCTTTGCTGAATATCTAGCATCAGGGTGAATTTAGTTAAGTTTCATGGAGCATTTTATCGATGGGCTCAAAAGACACATTCCAACATCCTTCTGGTGAGTCTTTCCATGCTGCAGAGCTAAAAGCCGAACTCAGTGAAGCTACGGTTCTGAACATGACTAAGGTTCTACCAATCAAAGACAGACTACAGCATCACGGGGCACACTCTCAGAGGGGTAACGGTAGTTGTGGCACAGGTCTTAGTGTCTGGCTACCCGCTTTCTGGGCATCCGTTTACACACCCTGTTCTGTTGGTAAGAGATTGGAGAAGAGCTACAGAGGGGAGTTTCCTCATTCCTCAGTTCCCCGACTGAGGCAGAGGCAGCAGCCCTTGTGGAGGACCATTCTGGGGTACGGCTTCAGGGCCCATTTCGGAAAGCTTGGCCCTCCTGGTTGATTCTACAAGCTACTTAATAGCCTACACTGAATGCCTTCCAAAGTAGGCCAAATAGTAGATTCAGTTTCAGGCTCCCTTGCATATCTAAAACTGAAGAAGTCAGAACTTCTGAAAAATTAGCCATGCATTTACACAATCTTGTACAACTTAGAGAGCCTCAAAGTTAAGTATCTCTTGAGTACCAAAGTTAAGAACCTCATG